TCTGGGAAAACCCGAATCTGAAGGCTTCCCGGTTTTCCCCACCTAGTTGGAAGTTCAAGATCTTTCCCCCACACCCACAAGTCCATCCCATGGTCCAATCTCCCACTGCCACGAAGACAGATTCTTCCTATCCAATTCCGGTCAGGTGCAGAGGTTGAAAGACAAAGGATGACCTTGGCTTTCTAGAAAGAATGTTGTTATGGCTACATAGCATCTAACTCCGTACAATCCATTTTCCCACGATTGAAAATGCATAGTAGAATAATAGAAAGTGTAGCAGACCAAAGATCCAAAAGAAAAGATGGCTGAAGACCTGACGACGTGTCAATTGCTGTTGTGATTTAAAAAGTCATAAATTCACACAGTTTAAGTTACGCGAATAGCTTTGCTTTAAGAACATGCAGAAATCTTTTGCTCTTTGTGTCCGAAGACTGCTTCATGTCTATCTCTTGGACAGCTTCATTATTTTGGCACCGACGCTTCTGCCTTGGTGATCCAGTGATGTGTTTTGAAGGCAGGTAGTCCTCGACGTACGACCACTGCTGGAATTAGAATTCCCTTTGCTAAGCTGGGAGGTTATTAAAGTGAGCTTTAATTTCATAAGCTTTAACCCTGGTGGTTAACATTTTCTTTTAATGTAGGCCGATTAGTGTACATTCAAAGTGGCAATAAACTGATTGTCAGTTGATTTGAATAAAGAGACTTAGAATAAATAGACTTAGAATAAGTCTATTTATTCTAAGTCCATTTATCCAAAGTGAAGTCTAAGCAAATCACTGCCGTTGTTAAGTGAATCGTGCAGCCATTAAGCGAATCCAGCTTCACCCATTGATTTGGTTTGTTGGAAGTAAGCTGGGAAGGTCTCAAAGAGTGATCACATGGCTCCCCAGGATCTACAACTATTGTGAATACATGCCCATTGGCAGAAAAACCTGAATTCTGATCACATGATCCTGGGGATGCCGCTTAAGACATTATTTTTAGTGCCGTCATTCCAAACAGTCACTAAATGAACTGTTGTAAGTCAAGGACCACCTGTACAGGTAATCCTTGATGGGTTTAGAGACTGTTCAAGATTACAACAGCACTGGGAAAAAAATTAATTCATGACTGTTTTCACCCTGTAGGGAGTTAGAACCTACCTTTCGCCTAGAAAAATGAAATATCCTGGGAAATATTGAAAAGGCAGATTGTTATATTTCCCTGGATCAGAAATACAGAAACATGTTTTTTAGGAAGGATACAGGTTCACTCTTAATAGCCCCCACCTTTCTCAATGGGCCATTAGGGGCTCTGAGCTAATCTACTCTACATAACAAAGATAGGAGTAGCCTTCCACATGAACTCACCACATGGCGTTTGGAAACACAACCAAACTTGGACTCAAAAC